GGTTGTCATTGAAAAAGTCTCTAACACATCAGGAGGGGGTCAAAGCCCTGAAGACTCTGACGGAGAGAAATCAAATCCTCGCAGCCACTCTTCGTTCGAATTTGTCTGCTGGTACCCTCAGATTCCGGAACCAAATGCCAACGGAACAAATTCGCCCTTCGTTGCCAAAACGTAATTTGGATTATTTAGTATTGAACGAACCAAATAAGGTCGAAATTTTTCGGAAATTTCTAAATAGGAAGTCTGGCAAAGAACTTTTCAAACCTTATAAGGGCAAAATCGTGCGGATCACTGATTCCACATATATTTCTGATAAAGGGAAAGTTATTAGAAGGAATCACTTGGCAGTGCGTCTTAAATCAACCCCTCTAAGTTTTTCAGGAAAACAATTAACTCCGGTGAAGAAAGGGAAGAAACGCCCAAACGTGCCATCTTCAACATCATCATCGGAAGATAATAGGCCTCTCAAACGAGCGGGTTCCAGGCAACGTATTTCAGCGAAAACAGTGTACGTGCCTGCTCATTCGAAATTTCCTTCTATGCCAGTTTCACATACTCCACCTCGCGGTCAAATGGTGGCGTTAAAATTAAGGGAAGATGCAACTTCGGAGGCTCCGGGTATACAGAACATCCCGTATCCACAGCATTCTACTCCGATGGTAGACTTGACAGTCTCTTCCTCTACGTCGGGTAATCCAGGAACAGAGGCTCCTATTAGCGTCAAGCCAAGGTGTATTAATGTCAAACCGAAATCCACAGTTATTGTCTCTTCCTCTAAGTCTGGCAATTCAGGAACGGAAATTCCTATTAGCATCAAGCCAAAGGCGCCAATTCCAATAATGACCCCAGTAGGCTCAGATCTTATTCCTATCTCTTCAGACGATGAATCGTCAATCTTGAAGTCACAAGTAGGAACTTCATCAAAATTGGTAGCATCGGGTTCTAACAACCAAGATAGTCACGGCATACTTTCGGAACAGGATGGGAATATGTCTTCTTCGTCAAATTCGTCACGATCTTCTTCACGACGAAAAAAGCAAACTACATTCTACGGTAGCCCTATTAGACACTCAGTTAATGTCATTCAGTTGCAGTCAGCAACTACGCCTCCGTCAACTCCTGCCTCTCCGGATAAGAAAGTCCGTTTTGTCGTGTCCAGTTCTGATCGTACTAATCAAGTAAGCCAGTCTCGGGCTGATATACCCGAGGATTCCCCAAAACATAGGAAATTTATTCGTTTTCCTAAAACGAGCACTTCCGACTTTCCTTCGCGTCGGTCAGATAGATAAAACTTTTGTATTTATCGAATTCGGCATTTGGTCCAGAACCTATACAAACTGTTGTACCCTGTATTTGTTAAAACTTTAAACTTTATACCAAATTTCTATTTGTAAAACTTCATGTCGGTCAGTCAAATGAAACTTTTGCATTTACCGGATTCAGCATTTGGTCCAGAAATCATACAAACTATCGTAATTAAAACTTTCGCATTTATCAATTCAGCATTTGGTCCGGAAATTATACAAACTTTTGTATCTTGTTCTCGCCATAATCTTTAAATTCATATCAAACATTCATCTATGATAGTCATTTCCATAAATCTTTTGCCTACCTTCACGGTTGCATATGTAAAAGCGCAGTTATTAATTTGTACTTAAGAGTAAAGAAATTCAAACACGGTTTGAATTTTTTTCCCGAGAGGGGGAAATGTGGTGCGTCGTTGTTTAATCTTAAACATGACGTCATCAGTGTGCTAGCTATTTCGTGCTAAACTCCATTATCGGTCAAGGTCGTTACCGACCTGCCAATCCACTTGAACTTTAATAGCATGCGCTCTATTCACTCTCTGTCAACTTATGAAAGATTTGAGTTGTATTTACTTCTATTGTCATGACATTATTTAAATACTAATCTATCTACATTATCTATATGATAAAATAACAAGGAGAATTAATTCTTGTTTTAAACTGTCTTTCGACGTTTCACACTCTGAAAAAATTCTTCCACCAACAATTAAGCATAAATTTGGCCCTGGAAGAATCATACTTTGCCATTTAAATACGACCTCATTGATAACCTTATTCTATTCTTGAAGCCAAAGGCTGATCTAAGATTTTATCCAGGGGGCGGATTTTCAGAAAAAAATTTGAACACTTAGTCGACCTTTTCCTTTTTTTAGGTCGACTAAATTGATTTTCTGAGCTCTCCCAAATCACTCTAAAGACCCTATTTTGACCAAATTTTTTACGCCGCAGGAAAATTTTACAAAAAATTTTTGACCAAAAATCGAGCTTTTTTGGCGCGCACTCTCCCTTCAAAGGCGCCTTCAGAAAAACTTTAGGGTTAGTCAGCGAAAAGTGGATATCTCAAATCCCATCCCTACTTCCGCTTCTGCTTGAGCCTTAATTCCAACAAAAATGCACGAGTTGTATGATGTATTGTGTGTTCTTTACTATTTTTCTCATGATTATCTTTCCATGCACTTTACTGATGTCCCGCTGAAAATTACGAGTTCAAAATCGATGTCCGAGTGAAACAGTTTTGTTTGACATAAAAACGTGGAAACTTTGAGGAATTGAAAACTTTACAAAAGCTTTGCTCATTTTTTCAAGGAAACTTGTAAAGAATGAGCTAATTTTCAAAAATTCTCATTGTTTTACAATTGAAAACTACAGAAAAATAGAAAATGCTGTTTTTTCAGGCTTTTCTATGGATAAAACCCCGCAAAATTTCAACCCAGGTTGAGTTTACTTGCCCGCAAGGAGGTTTTATTGATATTAATTGATTTTAATTGATTCTCATGGCATGGTCTGTCTCCATAAAATTTTAAAATAATCGATTATAATTGATTAATAATGGATTGTAAAACAAATACAGTGGAAATTAATCTGGTCCTTTACATAAAATTATAATGGATTATAATGGAAAATAACGGATTATAATACCTTAAAGAAAACACTTTGATGAGTAGGAGCCTAAATTTTTCAAAATTTTGAAAGTAAAAATTCAGAATCTGAACGTTGCAATCGCTAAATTGTGTTTTACATTTAGCTACAGCAAAACGCTGCATTGTTTTCTACTTGACATTTTTTTCTAATTGTGCCGCCCTCCCCCTAGCCACGTACACTAACTCCTATCGTGTTATCTTCCCTTTTTTTAGACCATCTCCCTTCCAACACCGCTTACCCTTTACTTACATTAGCCGAAAATTTACGTGAAAAATACCGTAAACGCGTGCCCCCTACACACTAAGAGACCCCTACACTTAAGTCACACTAAATTTTAACCCTCTACAGATCTTTACGCCATCAAACTTACGGGGTTTCTCTAAAAATAGAAGGGTTATAATGAATTAGGATCGATTGCGTGGTACCGAAGTTTAATTGTGAACAATTATAATCGCAACAATTTTGCGCACCAAAATCGATTACAATCGATTATGATCCATGGATTATTTTCGGCTCTACAAAACTGCTTTTAAGTTTTTTGTTATCGCTTCCCGCACTGAAGTTTCATGGATAATAATCAATTATATTGGATTTTCAATGTCAGTCTCTACAAAATAATAATAATAATCGATTATAATCGATTGAAAATGTATTATAATGATAACATTTTTTTAAGCAATAAAATCCCAATATAATCGATTATAATCGATTATAATCGATTATTTTCAAAAAAAATTATCAAAAGAAAAATAATCCATTTTAACCGATTGTAATAGATTATAATCTGTTTATTCAAATCTTTTTGTTTTCATTTTTTCAGAATTTTGCTAAACTTAAGTTAGTTATTTTGTTCTCTCGCTTAATTTCATTTTTTCCTATTTTCAATCGAGTTATGAAAAATTACAAAAATTTACCCCACGCTTACCCGTACTGCCAGTTAGATTTAGATGTCCCCTAACTAGAGAGAGAGGGGGGGGGGGTACGTCGTGGTTGGGGGATGGGGGATGGCGGTAAGTGAGGGGGATGGGGGATGGGGGTACGTGATGGGGGCTACGTGGGGGGATGGGGGTATGTCAGAGGGGTACGTCGTGGGTTGTGTGGGGGGTACGTATGGGGGGGGTACGTTGGGGAGGGAGGGTGGATACGTTGGGGAGGGGGGGGGGGTATATACGTTGGGGGGGGGGGGGACGTTGGGGGATGGGGGTACGTTGGGGCGGGGGGTGGGGGTTGACGTGAGGAGCTGGTCAAAAATGCTGTTTTTGGGCACTTTTTGGAAAATTACTACATATTGGCCGCCCCTAGATGAACGTGTTCGTTCAAGTTTTGCATAAAGTTGCAAATATTAGAGTCATGATTTACAAAATTTAATCAATTTTCAAGGATTTTATGTACAAAAAATAATTCATTATTTTGAAAACAAAAATGGATTATAATCGATTATAATGGATTATAATGGATTTAAATTTTTCCAAAGTAATCGATTATAATCAATTAAAAATCGATAACGTGGTCTAAATTTGACATGATAATCGATTATATCGACAACATTTTAGTCAACGAAAATCCATTATAATCGATTATTACCCATGAAACTTCGGTGCGGGTTGTTTTGTTTTGACATTTATATTTTTTCTCACACCAGTAATTGTGCTTAAGTTTTTCAACCAAACTTAGATGTCATTAAATACTCGTTCGTGGGATAAATCGAAAAAATGACAGTAATCTGAAAACCTTTGATTGGTATTTTTGGTTGTTCTTCAAGTTTTTTTAGGAGAAATTGGTAAATCAAATGTCTACCTGGAAAATGGGTCGACGAAATGTGCAATCTTTTCCAAATAATAACCCCCCCCCCCACCCCCAGTGCTCGCAAGAAAGTTAGATCTGCCCCATACGCTGTTATTAGTAAATTTTGTACATAAATTCTATTTCGGGCATCATCATTGATCTGCAGAAAAACATAGCCGGCATCAATTCTTCGTACTTTTTTTCGCTATTCGAACAGAAACGAAAAATTCGGAAACTTTATTGAGTTTAACTCGAAATGAATCGCAGCATGCTAATGTGACAAGGCGACATTGAACTAATTTATGATACATTTTCAAGCTACATAGCAAAAAGCCATCATATCACAACATAAAAAAGAGTTTGTGAGTCTCTCCAGATTGCTTTTCTCTAATCATTTTGTGTTTTTTGTCTGTCTATTTGTACTAGCTGCTCGGACCGTCAACTGTTTTTTTTTAAGCGTGTCAGACATTCTATTTCTTGGAAACAATTTCTGTTCAGACAATTTCTTTTCCTTTTTCAATGCATCTCAGCATCTCAGTCCGCTCTCTTGCTTCTTTTTTCAAACTTGGCTCTGAAAGCGCTCTGCTGATATCCCACTGATACTGTTCACGCCGTTTGCATTCGGAACTGTAATGGGCGGGGAAGTGGTCTCTAGTATGGAGCTGCCGGGGGAGGAATTGGGAGGGGACGAGAGAAGGGGGTACGAGGAGGTCAATTGGTTGAGCGGGGGCAGGGAGAGGGTCGAGCGGCGGGCGATGAGGGGAATATGAACCACAGTGCCGTTTTGATGTTGTTGCTGCACACACGAGTTCATCAATGGCTGATAAAAAGAAACTTTTTCATTCTAGAATACCCGGTTGCCAAGCAAATTAGACTGAGGGGCTTTGACCATAATCGTCTTCGCAAAAAAATATAGGATAAAAATAGAGTTGTATTTTGTTCAAAAAGCTTTCGCTCTGAACTTATGAATTTATTTTGACAAGACTGATCATACGGGGGTTTAAAGATTGCCATTTTGGTCAATTTGGGACAATTAACGCGCGATATATTTCGCGCTATTAACGCGTAAGCGGAGAGTTAATCCGTCATAGAAATCGTTACAAATTAAGCTTGTTTGCCATAATTGGTTTGTTACAAGGAGCGAAATCTATCCTTTTGTACTTTATATGGCGTGTGGGGGGATGATTTTCATAAAAAATTTTACATTTTAGAAATTTTTTTTTCATTTTGTTTTATTTCATTGAAATTTTAAATGTTATTACTGCTCCATAAACCTTAAAGGGCAGTCGGAACATTCAGGGCTTCGCCCTGATACGAGCAGTCTTGTTCAGTTTAATTAACAATTTTTGTTACGGCCATTTGAAATATATAGCGGAACTTTGAAATCGAGTGTTTTTAGTTTTTTATTTTTTTGTTTTCCTTTAATTTAATTTATTTTTTTATTTTTTTGAGGATTTTTATTAAAGTCTGTAAAAAAATTTCCTCAGAGACGAAAAAACTGGTTTGAAAATTTCAATTTTTGGTTTATTTTTGAGAAAATGAGGTTTGTCAAAATAAAGTTTGCAGGCTTACAATAGCTTACTTGAGCTTAATTTAAGCTGTGAAAACTTAGTTTTACTCGAGTAAAGTTAGTTTTTTGAAATTTCTAGAAAAAATTTCAATGAACTTTTTTTTGTTATTCTAGTCATTTTTCTACAGAAACTGTTTCGCCTATTTGACTGCGACTGTTGAATATACCTAGTTTCTTTTTTTATTCAGATCTTACAATCACACCATCCAGAAAAAAAACGACACCAAATTGAACAAAAATCGTACTTTTTCAAGACTATGATCAAAACATTCTGTGCTACTTGCACAGTAACCAGCTATAGTTATAATTGTAAATAGATTTCAGATCGAAAGTTTCAAAGCCTTTTTTGGCATTTTCTACGGTAGCTCGAATAAGAACTGAAAAAGTTTTGATATGAAATCCTACTTGAAACCGCCTGATATTTCAAGTCTTACATGGTTTTGAATGGAATCCAATGTTCCTTTCAAATTTAAGTGGTCGAACAAAAAGTCAAATAATTACAGGTGAACCATTAAATGCTGTGGTATCTCGTGCTATTTTTGTACATCAATTTGGGCGTGCAGACCAAAAACAAGACAACCTTTATTTCATACCGGTCAAAAAGTAGACAAATACTATATTAATTAATCAGAATCGAAAACAGAAAGCAAACTTAGGAAATAAATAATTAATAATTATTTATTTCCTAAGTTTGCTTCCTGTTCTCGATTCTGATTGGTTAATATAGTAGTTGCCTACTTTATGATGTGTCTACTTTTTGACATGCCTACTTTTTGTTACGTAGCGATCAATTTGAACTCTTAAATTGAAACTCCGAATGACGAAATCTCTCAGTCTATTCTCAATACCATTTTCAGGATGGGTGAACTGGAAAATGGGTATTGTAGGAGAAAATTTTTTTCCTGTCAAATTTCCTACTCTGACAATCAGAAATCTAATAAATTCAACTCTTATCAAAACTCCTCCTACACACTAATGAAAATAGTAGCAATATAAAAATTGCCAAAAAAAACCCGGTCAAAATTAACCTAAACATTTATGAGTGAAAAAATGCTTTAGTATGACAACTACCCTTTCCGTTCAGTATAAATTGGTATTTCTGGTCTGCGTAATGAGAGAATTACTTACAAAAATAAAAAAAGTGTAAATTGGTATACCAGTGTAAATTGAAACTTTTTACCTACAAAAATAGATAGTTAAGAGAACATCATTAAAGTAAGCGAAGCGAGCATATAAACATTTTTGAAAAGAAAAGTGAAAGGAAGATACATTGTATAGTACGCGCAGTGTAACCCAAACAGACTGGTGTTCACCTGTTGATTATGGTCCATGACAGCCACATTGACTAGATGTGGTCTATTGATTTGCGAAGATGACGCTGATGTATGGCCTTTCATGGCCTTGGTGTCTATTGAGAACCACGTGATCAACAGACAGAGGGGTTGTGTCAGAAAGAGAAGAGAGTCGACGACTCCTTGTATGTACAGGAGAGAGGGTGGGACCTTCTGGCTGTTGTTGTCTTTGTCTCCTCCTTTTCCGTATTGGGAGGACACAAAAGCAAATTGGCTGATTAGACAGGAGGGAATAACTAAGAGCAGAGACACTATACCCCACCTAAACAGCTCAAGGTTTTTGTTCGAAATTTTGGAAAACGTTTCAGAAATTTCAGCCCTCTCCTTGTCGAAAAAATACTAGAACGGACCGTGTATTTTCTCATTGTGACCGACTATAAGTTTCGGAGACCGGAATGAACTGGGTTGATTCTTCATCATTTTTCCCATGCAGCACAATATTACCTGTACAAGTAGTTGGCCATGTAGCGCCTCCCACCATCACTGAATGCAGTCTGGGACTGAGAGGGGGAGGAGGAGTTTGTTCTCGAGTTGTCTGATTGCGACTGAGGGGACTTAACTGGGTTCGGGAGGATGCTGGAGTCTCCTGATTTCCCAAGAAGTACCTTTCGGAATTTGCCGACTTCACTCAAAATTCTGAAACACCACAATTTGTCGTTACGTGCATATTGCTTGTGATACGCTGTTGATAGGGTGTGCTGCAGTTAGCATTAAAAATTCTATAAGTTTTAGAAGCATGGAAATTTTTTGAAAGGATGGAAAAATACGGGTAATATGGGGACCCCCAAATGAGAAGTTCAAAAAAACGCATCGGAAAGGACCCATCAGAACATTCAGGATTTTGTCCGGTTTTTTTTTTCAGGCATACTTTGCTCCAAGAGCTTAAAAAGGCTCGACATGTTCCGACGAAAGGAGTGATCAAACAGAAAAGCATGGGCTAAGTTTGAAAGACTGACAAACTATGCATTTTAAGCTGATAAAATCAAATTTTAAATTTTAAAAGTTGAGATTTAAGTGTTAAAATTTGAGTCGTGTTTAGAATTAGTAAGACCAATGAGCTTGCCTCAAATCAATATGAAACATTTTTTGTAGTGCAGGATATATAGTTCGCATGCTTAAAAAATGCCACGCCCTCGCTTCCAGCATCAAACTATACCCGTGCGCTTGTAACAGGGCGAAGCCCTGAATGAACCGACTACCCTTTAGTTGGTCTCAAATCATTTTTGTTAAATTAAATATTGCCAAAATAATGAAGTTTTGGCTGATAATAATAAATCTTAAGTGATAAAAAAAATTGAACTGCGGGGTCTTTTCGGTTATACCCCCCTAGATTAATTAAATTGGCAATTCAAATTTCGAGTTGAAAATGAAAGCGCGAAAGCGATTGAAATTAAATAACACTCGCGTGCAATAAGCAGCAGCTCGATTAGGAAACCTAGTATTAATTTTGACATATACTTTTGTTTCCTATTCGAGCAGCTCGTAATTGCACGCGAGTGGTATTTAATTGTTTGTTTCACTCGCTTTCGTGCTTTCAATTTCAACTCGAAAGTTGAAGTGCCAAATTTTTTCCTTTATAGGGGGTTTACCTGAATTGTGTATGAAATGGGCGTTCAACAGTGCCGAAGTACAACAGTGCCGAAAAAGGCGGGAAAATTTCAGATGTTTTACACGCATTTTCTAAAGAGCGGGAAATTACTGGCGCTAATTATCAAAGAATACCACTCCAATTTTGGCGCCAAAACGTCTAAGTTGCAAATTTTCTCTCTCAAAATCTTTAAAGTGTCACTTAAGATTGTAAACGTTCGCCGTTTAATTTTTGATTACCGCACTTAATATGTTGAAATTTGTTCATATTTTCGGCACTGTTGAACAAAATTTTCATTTTCGGCACTGTAGAACTAGTTCTTTTTCGCCACTGTTGTACTTCGGTACTGTTGAACTGCGCCGTATGGGCTTAATAAGATGAGGGATATTTTGCCACGCAATTTATAAAACGAAAAGTTTAGACATACTCCTGGCCGGAAAATCTAGTTGAGTGCACATCCGGCTGGTCCCAAGTAGATCAAAGGATCCATTTTCCGAGGAAGCAAAGAGTTTTGTGAATTTGGTCTAAGTAAAAAACCAACCCCCCCCCCCCCAAGAAAGTCGGAACAAAAAATAAGTAGTTTAGCAAGATTATTGTCAGGTTAATATAGAGGTGTTGCAACTCTACATGCCCGTGAAAAGGTCCAGGGATTGAAAAAAATAGAAAAATCCCGAGAAAACTTCTGAAAATCACCACCAAGAATAAGAATTCCGCATTTTTAAAAACTTGGAACAAAAAACTAAACCACTTTATCCCCATCCACAGTGTCGTACCCACCGGCAGAATATCACCAGCCAAGATATCTCATCATTACGAGCCCAAACTTTGCACTGGATATGCGCACAATTTGTGTCACTAGATCTCTGAGAGACAAGTCTTTAAGCTTGTTAAAAATTAGTCGGCACGATCAAAGAAATGAAAGAACTCAAGAACAAAGAGAGCGTTCTTGTTGTGTAATCCGCTTACAAATTCACAAAATACACAGTTTGGCCTCCTCATAAGGATATAATTTAAAATACCCGATATACTGGTGGGTAGGGATTCGATTTGAATGTGGCTGCAAAGACTGGCAGATGCTTGTCACGTAAATTGGTTTCTGAAGATAACTAGTCTCTTATCTTCAAAAAACCAATTTACGTGATACGCATCTGAACGTTGGCGCGTCTATAACAGTCCTCATTTAACCGTTAACTACCTTTAATATGAACTGTTTTTGATAGATTAGAAGTAAAAACTTTTCCGGTTTTATTCGAGAAAAATTCAGATTAAAAGTACAATAAACCGCATGTGTTTTGGAGAACCTAATAAATGGTTGAGTAGAGTTAACAAATAAAATATATGGCTTTGTTCTAAATTGAAATACAGTGAGCACTGAGTTGTCAAATAGTTATTTGAGCCATCTCAAAATTAGCACTTCTGGTGTTCCTGGTTGTCTTAAATCATCAGTTTGTCCTGTGACTAGATATCTGCGAAGCAGTCTTGAAATTGAGGTAGCACATCCAGAAAATTTTAAAAACTACCCTCATCTAAAGTTCACAACGATGCAATCCGATAGCATGGGTGCAACATGACATTTTGCTTTAATTGAACGTAATTTTAATAGAATTAAATTGAAAATTTATGCGCCTAATGAAAAGATTTCAAAGCGTTCAGAAAATTTCCTGATAATCGGTTTTGAACGAAATTTTTTTAGGGGATCATTTTTAAGCCTATTTCAGCATCAACAATTGAAAAGCATATAATGCTGCAGTATTTTTGGCTAGTGCTAGATCCTATTTGAAAAAAAAAACAGGTACTATGAGAATGAATGTGTTTTGTTGGTTCTTTTTGCGACGCTTTGGTAAATTTTTGCAATTTTTGTTGAAGTTTCAATTTTTCTCAAAAAGTACGGTCTCGTTTTTCAAAAAATGGTAGCAATGGACAAACCGGCTGCTCTTCTATGTGACCCCACATTTTGCTAGACTCTTTTCAATTTACCCCACGTACTAGATACAAAAATTATAGATGAACTTAAACGCACAAATCTAAGATGAAGCTTTCAATCAAAAGAACAAATTATGGAGATTTCCCCTTCTGAAGCGGTTATTCTCTAAATTCGGTACAAAAAAGTAACGGCCTCAAACAAGCTCAATTTTCGACCTTTTGGTTTAATTCTGAAACTTCACAAAAACTACCGCGCCAAATCAGAGATTAAGGAATTTATCGAAAAAAAAAAAACAGTTTTTTTTCTACTTTTTGGCCCAAGCGGCTTGCGTTTTGAAAAAAATATACATGGCCTTAGAAAAAGTCCATTATTTGAAAATTTGTCCAATTTTTTGAAAACGTCCTTTTATTGCTTCAAATTCTAACCTGCTGATTCGAAGTTTGATAGTTAAATCAAAATAGCCTGGTACTTATTTTTTATAAAGGTAATCTGTTTCACATTTTTGCGGAAAACATAATACGGACTTGAGTAAAATCCATTCATTGATATTTTTTTCTTCGCCGTTTTTCTTAAGTTTCATCACTGTTCTTGAAAACTACTGGCTATATTTGAAATTAAACGTCCAATTCAGAAACCAGGTTGCGAAAACTTTCCTTGCATAATAGGCTATTTTCAAGCTTTAGTGGAGAAAATTTAATGGATTTAGAAAAAATAAAAACTTTTGATTATTTAAACCGTTTTTTGGTATTTCTTTTCTTTTTTTTCGAGAACTACCCGGTCAAATATAAAATAAAGACTTCAATTGAAAACGCGTGAAATCGCTTTTCTTTTAGATAAGCAGCTAATCTCCTACTTTAGCAGATAAATTACTAGGGTTTTGCGTAAAGTCTATTCTGAAATTGAGAAAATTAGGCATTTCCGTATCAGTACAAATTATGATTAAAAATTTTATAACAGGTACATCCAGCTTTGGCTGGGCCACTAGTTCACTTTCCAATAACCGTAGCGCAGATTCGAGGACGTGAGTGAAACTCTTAAACATCAGGTCGGAACATTTAAATAGTTTTTTTTGCTCGAATGTTTGCTGCTTTATTGGTGGCTAGTGTTAGTAAAATTACAATTGGTCGTGGAAGAGATGTTAGAACGTGATACTTCTGATCTCTCCAAATTGATCTTCAAATTTTTTTTCAGGGTGTCTTTTTAAATTTTTTTTCTAATTTTAATTTATTTAGCCCGCTTAAAGCTCTTTTTTGAATTTTCCTTGCTTGTGTTTCTGTTTTGTCAAAGATCCAAAAAAATGCCATTTATCAAAACTTAGAAAATTGGAAGAAAAGTTGATTTTTCAAAATATTTGTATGGATCTTAGAAACAAAAAAAAATTACTTGGTTTTCCTAAATTCATAGAACCATCGCGCAATTTTTACCCTTACTTTTGTATTTTACGCGTTAATGCTTAAAATAACGTATTAATTTTTGAATGATGTCACGAACAGCTTAATCTAGCACCAGGTACCAAGACTAAAAAAGGAGAAAGAGAACAGTTAAGTCTGCCGTCAACTGCTTCTCGCTTCCACGACATAGTGAAACCAAAATCAATAGTGGTGTCCGGCTAATAACACGACAATTATTAAGACGACTAGACTAGTATTTCAATGGGGATTTAAAGATGACAATTCAATCAGAACAAAGAGAAAACAGAGCAATAACTTCCCTCATTTAAGTTTTAAGGTTCGAGCGTATTTTAATTGAGAAACGAATAACCAATCAGAGGGCTGCAAATTTTTTTTAGTCGTCTTTATGGTTTGTCGTCTCGATATCATCTCGTCTTACTGACCTGTCGTCTTATTTGCCTAGCACCATGAATAGTATTGAATCGGATGCCATCATTGACTTGTAATCTCTTCTTTTCTTCAGTTAGATTGTGAGCTGAGAAGAACAATCAGATAAGCAATGCAGTTGAAGACAGGTGTATTTTAAAAGGATGCACATCAGGCGTCAAATAGAGGAGTGGCAAACACAAAGGCGTTAAAAATTATTCATTTTTTAGCAATTGACTCTGCTCGAACTTTCAACAGTGATTGAATCCAATTTCAAGAGGTACGGAAGATTGTAAATACCCAGGTC